GGTCCATGACATTTACTTTTTGAAGATAATTTCATTTAAATGTTGACCGCGGCTGCGTCTTAGGTGGTCCATTCGGAAAGTCCAATTTTGGGCAACTTTTTCGAGCATTTCGGCCGGAATAGCCCGAATTTCTTCGGAAATGTTGTCTTCCAAAGCTGGAATAGTTGCTGGCTTATTTCTGTAGACTTTAGACTTGACGTAGCCCCACAAAAAATAGTCTAAAGGCGTCAAATCGCATGATCTTGGTGGCCAACTTACCGGTCCATTTCTTGAGATGAATTGTTCTCCGAAGTTTTCCCTCAAAATGGCCATAGAATCGCGANTCAAAGCATACTGAGCATCTTTCTCTTTGACACCATGTCTGAAATCCCACGTGATCTGTCAAATACTAATGCATGAAAATCCTAACCTCAAAAAAATCACCCGTTATAAGCGCCTACAATTTTTTTGCTGCATAGTTTTAGGCATAAGTACTACAGTTGTGTATTGATAAAAAGCAAGGCGGAAATTCTTTAAACACTGAAATTGTTTTCACTTGGATTTTTTGATTTGTAAACATCTTTACTCCCTGTATAGGGGTAATTTGCGTAAACCATCGCGTGTAAACCCGGATGGATATAGAAGTTGTACATATGAAAACAAAGCTAATCAGCTGTTACAACTGTCTGGCGCTAACCGCTAAGGAAATTTAAGCGACTATTTTTTCAAAATTAATTTTATTTTTTTTCATTAAGTGCCTCTGACGTTTTCTCGGCGGTTTGATCTCAACATAGTTTGAGAGCATTTCGGGGCTAGTTCGGGACTAGCTCGGGACCATTTTGGGATCAGTTCGAGACCAGTTCAGGACTAGTTTAGGACCATTTTGGGTCGGTGTCACGCCCATTTTCAAAAAATTTGTTATAGGCGTATTTCTCGCTACCTAAAGAGTTATCGCAAACATCAATTTTAAATAAATTCGCTTCAGTAGGTACTGGTATATCAAAGTAATCTTGTTTCTCCAAATTACCGTTATATGGGATGTGGGCGTGGTTGTTGTCGGATTTTAAAATTCAAGGGCTTCGGAGAGTGTCAAGGCTACAGAAGGTTGTTAGCTAGAGATTATTTATACTCAAGACCCCTTCCTAGAGCCGACGATGTATCCACAGAACTCACAGAGCACCCGCTTAACCTGCTTGTCAATACTCAGTTACTGAGAAACTCTGAAGAAGTGTTTAATCCACTTTAAAGAAGGTATGTCGTACACCATCACATAGGGGAAACTACTTCCTAAGAAGTAATGGCATGAAGAGTTCCATCTAAACTGGTATCTGGAGGAAGGGTTATTGGTTGTGTATTCTTTAGCTACGGCTCTTTATTATTTAAGCGAGTAAAAGTAGTTTTTGTATCTGGAATGAGGTGGCACATCTTTCCAAATAATTTTCGCTCAATCTTAACCTTCTTTGTTCTTAAATTTCAGGGAAAGTTTTTGACGGGTATTTTTGTTGAATATTTCATAGCAATTTTATATCTGAAAGTACAGCATTGCCACATGTTTTCATATACTTTGTGTCTAAATTTCGAGGGCAGTATTCCCATCTACGCTTTTTTCTTTCTGATTCTGGGGTATTTTCATATTCGTTAGAGTAGTTTGTAAAATGTTGGAGAGGAGAACGCAACTCATGAGGCAATCTTTTAATTGTGCTTCGACAAGCAAGATTAGTTTCAATTAGGGAAAAATACTAAAAACTTAATGAAATCCTTTCGCTTTATATTCTGCTCCATATGCAAAAGTGTCAATTATTATATGAGCATTTATACATCCAATATAAGTATGAATATGTAAAAAAATTTAATTTCTAAGCATTGCCGCAGAAATTTGTCTAGATTGCGATGATTTTCCCATGAAATAATGTCATCGAAAAGTATGTTTCTTAATAAGAATGCAAATCTTTCAGCTGACATAAAAGTATCTACAAATATCTATTACAATCCCATTAGAATTGAAAGCATCATCCACTTTAATGCGAGAAGATTTATACATTCTCATTATGTACAATGTACCAATGAGCGCTTTCATCTCAAATTAATTAGTCTCACAAGCATCCCGTGACCTATCGTATCCTTCTAGAGATTTAATCTTTTTATTGATAACATTAAAAATGTTTTTCGACCAGTAGTAAGGAAAATTATATTGTCACTACGTGTAATAGCTTTGTTGGACGGATGCCTCTTCCATTTATAGGCAACTACATTTCTTGATGTTGATATTTTTTTGTATGTAATGTGCTATTTTTCCTAGAACTTAACAATTGAGAAAATGGGATGCTATAATCACTACTTGTCAATATTTTTTTTTAGTAAATTTCATATTCTTGCTCAGACTTCAAAAAATGCTCACTTATTTCAGTCTGGCAACTTTCACTATCACTTTAAATGAAAAAAAAAATAAAATTATTAAATAGCTTTAATTGCTCTTAATTTTTCATGCCATTGTCAACATCGATGCAACCAATTATTTCGTCATCGCTTTCCTCTTCTAATCACTGCAAGACGCGCGCTTCTTGTTGCCGATTCATCTGTAGGGTAGCCAAGGAACGATGTAACACAAACCGCATGAAATTTAAAGCAGCACGGTAAGCTATATGCTGACTTGTAAGTTAATTCGTAGAAGGATTTGCAGTGTTATGCTAATTATCTATTAAGACTATGTAGATGCTTTTCTATATATCCAACCTCTCTTTATCAATTTTATTTGGTATGAAAGCTTATTTTGCTACATATATTTCTGTCTTGCCAATTTCCATCCAACTTTAAAATTGTTTTATTATTTTTGTGCATACGCCAATTTATAACAAGTTTTTCTATGTTTAGAAATACGATACGGCTTTGTTTTATATTTCATGCTCTCAGTAATTTTCAGCTTTTTCCGCCAGACACAATACCTCTTGTTGCGGAAGTTTGAAGTTGAAAGTCAAAAGCGGCAAATTATGTTGTATTATGAAATGGATAGAGACGTATGCCTGCACGTGCCAAAAATTAGGCAGTGTTTTACAATAACTTTTCGACAGCTTCCGCACACTTGTAATGGTTTGGTTTGGAAGATGCCGGTATTATAGTTGGTTTACGGCTAAAACAAGAGGGCGGAACTCAGTTGAACAAGTCAATTACCTACTTATGTTGAATTTTTAGTGCGGAAAATAGGTTGCAATACAAGTCGCTTTGATCATAAGCAAATTTCCGTTATACTATATATGAAAAGTTTGGCTTCTTCTTAGCGATTTATAACTTGTAGAGTTTTTATTTCACACAGGTTTTTTTAACTTTTTTGTTTTGTGCTGTAAACAAGCAATGGTATTGGTGAGCTTTTACTGTCTGGCAAAACTTTTATTTATTTTATACAATCGTATACGTATAAAACACTACAATGTGTATGTATATAAATGCTAGCGCCACTTTCATTGAACTAAATATTTAAATTTGAAGCATAGTTCCGTAAATCTATGGAAGTCTCTTAGCAAACTATTTCGCAGCATACAGTATGATATGAAAATAATTTATATTGTGAAACGCATTAGGTGTTAATGGTAAAATAACATCTGTGACACCGCTGCTTCAGGGAAGAACAGAAAAGCTAAAAAGTTAGAAGACCGACTTACTCAACGCCATCGTTGAAGTATACATATTTTCTTTTCAGTTCTTGGTTAACTATTTTTTATGATTTTTATTCTTCTTTGATTTCGACTAAGAGTTCGTATATGAAAAATATGCGATGAAAATGCAACTTCGACGTTACGTATACGCCACGGTGTACATATATAATTCATTTTGTTTTATCGTATTGCAGCCTTAAGCGGTGGCTTGGTATCTCGGTACTTGGTAATTTGATACCCATAATGCAATATTTAACTTATCTTATTAATTAAATAAAATTTTAATTTGGCAAACTTGGTGGCAAACTTTCATAAAAATATTTTGGACCATAAGTCTTCTTAAACCCTTTCTTTCGACAGCCATATTGCATTATCTACTTTATATTTTTAATTTATTTAAACTGTAATTTTCAAACAGGTGGCAACTCTTTTATTATTATTTTTCTTTACTTTAATTTATGCAATAGCTTTCGAGTGATGCACGTACGAACATACAGATATACAAACAACAATTCTAAAATTGTTGATTTGGCTTCTGTTGCTCTAATAAAAAAAAATTTAAATAAAAAAAAATTTCTTGCCGCATATCATATGTTCTTGATAAAAGTTCCCCAAAATTTTGAAACAATTACATAAAAAAAAAAGAAATCACAAAAAGTCTGGAAAAAGTACAATTTAAGAAAACAATTCAGAACTTTTTGTGATATTTGAAGATTACTATAGGACACGAAAAATTCATAAAGGGCAGAAAAAAATATTCTTCTTCTTGTTTGGTGCAGTATTTACGCCAATGGGAAATAATTAGTGAAGTGAAGTCCTTCTCCACCTGCTTTTCCCAACGCAGAGGAGGCCTTCCTCTTTCTCAGCTACCAGTGTCACGACCTGCGTTGAATACTTTCAGAGCTGGTGCGTTTCTGTCCATTCGTACAACTTGACCAATTCAGTGTTGTCACAGTAATTTAATTTATAAGAAAATAGTTCCGAAAATGTTTGAGTTGTGAAACCCGAATTTTCACAGTTTATGTAGAAACAGAGTTTTTTAGTTTAATATTTCAAGGCTAATAACCCTTGTTCTAGGTATTTTGTTCCTAGCATACCCTAGCGGGTTAGGTAAATATCTTTCTCTCTAATGCTTTAACTCAGTTTTGTTGCAAGTTTGCATCAAATCGTTGAACTTTTCGTAGACCGAGAAGGATACGTGTATTTAGCTCACATTTCGCACTCAAAAATATTCAATCTAAGTTGGTATGCGATCTCCACAATACGTATCTACATATTTACATACATACATACGCACAAGCATTCTCACATAACAGTAATATAATCATCAAGCAGAACTTTTCAAAACAAACTTTCAAAGTTTTCACTCACCTGTCCGCTTTCTTAACACCCGACCACATGGCCGCCGAAACGGGTGGCATAAAGCGCAAATTGCCCACAGGCGGCGAAGCGTACGGTATGCCACGATACGCTTCCACCGGATCTAGATGACGTCCTTCTAGCTGTACAATAACACCGGAAATGGCACCGTTGCGTGTATGTATGATGCGCGACGATAGTTGCGCTGGCAGTTGATCAACCTGTATGCCATGACCATGTCCATTGACATTGTTGTTGGTAATGCCGCCAGTGCCTACATTTTGACGACTGCTACGCCCACTACTACTACTCCCGCTACTAGTACTGCTACCACCACTGCCGCCACCTAAACCTGAACTACCCGTGAGGGAGGCTGACGTTAACAAGGCGGCAGCCGATGAGGTAGCAGCTGCCTCACTGATGCCGGACAATTGATGTGATTGCGTCAACAACAAATTGGCTGCGGTCAATGAGGCAGATGTAAAGGGAGATGAGACAAATGACGACGAAGCCGACGATGCCGATGATGCTGATGATGGGCCAGAGATTAGCACAGTGCTAGAATCAGATGCTAATGAGGCATCTGATTGCATGGAGATTGAATTTGTAGCTGCAGCGGAGACAAGCGCGCGAAAAACAGCTGATGTGCTACTGCCGCTGCTGATGCCACTGCCATTGCCATTGCCGCCATTATCACGTCCGCTGCGGCTATAATTTCTCGTATTGCCATTTTGACTGTTCGTTGCCGCTGTGGCAAATGAGCCGCTGTTACCGCCGCCGCCGCCAATACATGCAAGGAGTATGAGGGTGGTTGTTAGTGCGGTTGTTGTTGTTGCCAGCAGGTGAATATAACGTAGCAACATTATCATTATTGCGCTACGCAGCGCTATATGCGGTTATGGCTATTGCTGCTGCAGCTGCTGTTGCTGTTGCTAAATATATGTATGCGCCGTTGTTGCGTGTATGAAGTGTTACGTTTGTTGTTGTTTTGTGTCGCACACTGCTGGCAACGCTTGCTTAATTTAATGTTGGTTTATGTTTATGATGGCAGTTGAAGTTACACTCTTTGTTGTTGTGGCTGCAGCTGATATTTGTTTTTTCATCTCTGTTCACATTTTGTTGCTTATCTATAATTCAGTCTTGCTCCAACTCATAATCGCAGCCAGTTTGACAAATTATCAGCGCTTGTAAGGTAAATTGCTTTTGTTGCGTTAATTGCAGAAGTTATTGCATGTAATTAGGGCTACGACTTTTGAGTCCTCGCTTTTATTTTCATGCTGTAGCATGTACTTTTTGCGCTTGCAATGTCCTTCGGAGCGCTGCTAAGTATCTTTTTTATCTTTTTTTTATTAATAACACTGTCTTAAGATACAGAGAATAAGCGCTTATTTACACTTTTGCGCTTTTCATTATCTTTTTCTCAACTTTGTAGCAGAATTCAGCTGTTCCACATAAAGTACTTGAGTTTTGTTATATTTGAAAAGAGTGCACTGTAAAAAAGTACACTCTGCAACATTTGTGTATTTGCCACTTTTCAATTGGTTAACCTAAAAAGAAAAAAAGAAATTTTTTGTTTTAATTCACTTTTTTTTTGTTATATATACGCAGATTAGGGTGGTCTAAAGAATGCTCTCACCCCCTAGGATTGTTCTGTATCGGAACAAGTATACCCCTATTTTTTTTATTGTGAAATCAAAAAATATTTAGGGAGTGCTCAAAGCGCGCAAATTTTTCCGTTTCTTTTATATGGAAAAAAAACCACTTTACGTAGAAATGGTATAGAATTCTTGCAAACCAATATATTCGATCGGAAAACTCTGGTTCTCTTAAGGAGACTCTCAGTATTTAATAATACTCATTTGTTTATTTAACCATTTTTTAAAACTAAGGATTTTTTTATTAGTCCCCCATTGCATTTTTTGTGGGTTTTGGGGTTTTTTCGGACCTATAAATTATAGATACTTTGAAAAAATTGTTAAATAAACAATGGGGTATTATTGTTGAAAATCTCCTGAATATATTTCTACGAGAAGACGAGTTTGCAGACAATTTGCTGGAGTGGTGACTAGTCCCTTTACGCGGCGCAAAGATCTTACTGTGATTTGCATAAAGACCACTTCATATGACGATCCTGCCTTGAAGATTGTGAGAGGGCGCAACATTTTTTGTGCTTCTGTTGAGAGATACCTGAGCTCTTTGATATCAAAATTTTGCTTAGATTTATTCGTAAATCGTGCAGATGCAAAACAGATTAAAAGGGACATGAAAACAGCACAATCGATAGTGTGTAGTGCACCCATCTTTTGCTAGATATATATGTAAATTGCCTGTAAGTCAAATTTATATACCAGGGGCTTATATTCAATGCCCTATAAGTGCACTTTTCACAAAACTGATATTCGTGTATAAAGTCCACCTAAGACTTAAGTTTCATCGGTGATATTAATGCTGACCTAGTATAACGCTTGACTGAAGAATTTACTATTAAATTACGAAGTCATAAAAAACATCAGTGATGACAGGTAAGTCGCAGATGGGTTCTACCCTCACAAAATAGTTTTTGTGAAAATTGCTGATAGAGGGTATTGAATAAATATAAGCCCTAAGTAGATATGTTGATTTGTCAACTTTTTGAAGGAAACACAACAGATGTCCTAAATGTCAATGGTTATACATATTAAAAACATTTTGTTCCTAATAAAGTGAAAAATGTTAAAGATTAGCAACCCATCACCATCACGAATTTTATTAAAATCGGATAAAATTTATAATTTCTCGTTCGTCGCATTCCTTGGATGGTGATGATAACAGTCTGTGTCTTCTCAACGTTATGAGCTAGGCGAGCAGAGGTACCTTCCTCATTAAGGGTCTGGAGGTTAGTTTTCTTTGTCAGTTTGTCCGAATTTCGAATTAAAACACATGTAATATTTTGCTAACTTGAAACTAAAGTTTTCGTTGAACATTTAAGGCTTTATGCCCAATACCACTGCGATTTTGATTTAAAAGACCGTGGAAGTGGTCCTTTGTAATACTACTGCAAACGTTAACGGCTAAGTTAAAGCGAGTATCGCTGAGTTCCGAGAACGAAGTTTCGCAGGCGGTCATTCGTAGTCCCGGAGACGTCTTTCGGACTTGTCCGATAGTTTGGAGGTCGCAATCAACTAAAACTGGGCAGTCTAGGAGGAAATTCTGAGATGACTCCACCTCATCGTCCTCCATACAGCTGCAAGAAAGGGGGTCTAATAACATATTTAATCTCACTACATGTACCCCTGTACGACCAATGCCCTTTCAGTACACCCACGATAATCGACAGATCCTGCTTCACGAGCCTAAGTATGTAGATGCCTAGATCACCCTCGTCTACCCTCGACCAGAAAAACCTCCCCGTAGCACATGCACCTGTTTTCCTCCAGGCCCAGGCCAAAGACCCATATTCCCAAAAGAAGTCCATAAGTAGTGAAGGGAACTCCCATCATCTCTACTCTTGGCGGTAATTCTTCAAGGGTGTCGCCTCTGGCCACTTCATCAGCCGCACGCTTTCCTGCGATATCACTATGGCCTAACACCCAGGCAAGTTCGACAAAGTAGATAATATTCCAACGGTATCGAAAGCAAATTAAGGCATAACCCAACAAGTTCCGAGCGTATTGTAAGTGGGCTCAGGACTTTGATCTATGTCTGGCTGTCTGAGTAGCTGTTAGCATCCCTTACAGCAGACAATCGACTGCTCGACCCCAATAGCAGCAACCTCTATCTGAAACACACTAAAATGATCTGGGGGCCTAAATTTAAGGTTGATGGAGAGCTCCCTGAATAAAATCCCTCCACAGACTCCTACGTCAAGTTTTGACCCATCTGTGTGAAAGTTCACCGACGCCGCCCTCCAACCAAAGCCCACCAGCATCTTATCCCTATATAGTAAATGCGTTGAAAGCCAGCTGGTGGTGTCAGGCTAGGCACGCAGTGATCCGTTTTACTCAGAAAGAGATCGAAGGCCCCGAGAATCAGTTAATAGAAATTTCATAAAAATACCTAGAAGAAGGCACTTAGAATATAAAAATGTTCAAAAAAAAATTACAAAAAAACAGAGAACATTTCTAAACTATATCGCCTTCCGAATAATGTAAATCGATTAAAAATTTTATAACAGTTCAAATATAGGTTTTCTTACTAACCAAATGTTGATTAATAATTTTATATGGGCAAAGTATAAAATACTGTGAGAAGGGATACATCCTAAATGTTTCAGAAAGGCTAATCAAGTATCAAGACTTATTCTGTATGATAAAGCAACTAGGGTTGACTTGTAGACAGTAAAAATAAAAATAAATAATTGAATACACAGTTAAATATTTAGAGATAAAAGTCATATAATTTTATAACTTTCTCTCTTAAGAAAATCTATTAATTCAATAAAGCATTTTAGCATTTGATAAAAAGTAGCTTCATCTTATTAAACTGCATACTTCTATTGCACTCAAGAGCTCATCCACTGCTCATCCATGCTAAATGCCTAGCTGCAGGTGTTACAGCAGCAACACGAACACGACACACCAGACAAATATGTGCATACATATGTATATAAAGTGATAGCAGCCAGTTATCCAAGTGCAAAAATAATAGAACACGACATAACAAAACGATGTTAAATGCACTGAGGCGCATATGCAACACTTCATAAACACAAGTGTGTATGGTGCGAAAAAAGGTAGCAAGAAAATAAATTCCAACGACATGAGTAGCTATTTGTTACGTATACGTCATGTCGACGCCTCGCGCGCTCCCGCATTTGGAGGAGCCACGAATATACAAACAGCAGCGGGTAGCGTATGCACAAATGGTTTTGCGGCGAGTTCATAAAGATAGCAGGTAAATAATAGTGAGGGTATAAGTACAAAAACAAAAACAAAAACAAAAAAACAATCAAAATAAAACGAAATGAAGGATAAAAACCAAAAACAATAACGCCAACGCGAACGCCAACTGACAACTGGGTATGACAATTGGCCTTAGGCAGGGATTTAAATATCTTCGCGAGCAAAGTAGCGTAACATAGTGCAGCTGAGCGTGAAATAAGTGCAGTTGCAGTGCGGATCATTGTCAGCAATAAAAAAAAAAAAAACACAAGAACAATAATAAAAGCAGCAATACCAACGGAGAAAACTTCACATGTGCATGGTTACTTGACTATGTATTTATGTATGTATATCAAGGTGCATCTGTTGCGAGCACATACCTCTGAGCCGTCAAAACAGGTATGTGCTCTTGTAGCATGCACATGCATACGTTTACATTCGCGAAATGATAATTGTTTTTTACGCTGAAACTTACATAAAAATACACATATATTTGTTGTGATACGTAGCTTTATTGGATATGTATGCAGGCTTGGAAATAGGGGGGGGTGGGATTACTAGGGGAATTAGTTACCCCTAAAAGGTTTCACAGTAAGTGAAAAAATGCAATAATTTCTTTGATATATAAGTGAAGGGGACTGTAGAACTACTGCAATAAAAGCGTCAAATCTGGTGGCAATAATATGTAATTTTGAATTTCTTATTTGTGCTTTCTTCCTCAGTGACATTTTATCACTAACGCGCCCACCGAGTGGAGTTTTGCGGACCGAAACTATAAAGCTTCCAATTCATGTAAACACATGTAAATTACATAGTAAAAATTAATAAAGGTAGTACTAAGGATTATACATACATGAATGAGAAAAGAGTTAGAGACATTCGGCACTTAACAGTAGTAAGTGTTGTTATTTTATTTTTTTTTTAATTTTAGTTGCATCGTTATTGCAGAGGACGATCGATATGTACTTGTAGACATTTACAACAATGTAATTTTTTTAATTCATTCTTAGGCGAGTTACTAATACGAGTTAACCCTCATTAGCCCTTAAGGTCAAAGTTATTGCTTTTAAGTTTTAATATGATTTGCTCAATTGTATTTTATGTATTGAATCCGATTAATCAAATTTTTTACTTTATTTATTTTCTATTCTACCCTTTTCTCACTTAACAGAGGAACTTACATTTTTCATTGGGATTTGAGAGGAATAATTTTGAGCGGGAGCAGTGCCACCGTTCAAAAAGACAGAGCACCGGAGCCAGCCGAGCCAATAAATAGACGTGGATGATTAATGCAAACAAACAATCCGCCAAATATGGAATGTGCGACAAATGTTTTATGCAAATACCACCACAGTTAGCTTATAATTTGTGTAAAATGTGCGAGAAAAAAAAATTACCATCAATAAATGATTATCAATAAATCAGCTACATACTTCTTTTTATCCAAAAAACCGTTAAGTTTCACAGGGTATAAAATGAAACTAATGAAATAATTAGTTTGTAGTTTATGTCTGAAAAGTTGTGCAATTTGCATGAAATAAACTGAAAATTAGGGATGGCAGAATGAGCTAAGCTAATAGAGGGAAAATGTCAATATGTGGTAATTTTTTTAGCTTACGGGTGAAGGTAAAGCAGAAATTAAATTAAGGAAAAAATAAAAATAAATGGATACAGTCCGAATACTGGCT